AATATGGCAGAGGGCACTGCAGATGGCAGAAGCCAACTCTTGTGATGTGACCATCAGACACGGTGAACAGAAGGCATGAGAAGCTGTGGCCAGGTGACACTTCGAGGGGCTTCACAGTGGACTTTGTTTTTATAATAAGTAAGAGTAACCTTCCAGTACCAATGAAAAGCATGATATAGTAAATAYGTAAACCAATAACGTAATTGTGTATATCAAGAATTACATATTGCACATAATTTCATGTTATTGTCTTTGTACACCTGGCAGTGCCGAAGAGTGTTTACGACAGGATCACCACAAGCATGTGAGGAATGCCTTCTACCACCAGATGGCTGTGACATCACTAGGTGACAAGAACTTTTTAGCTCCACTGGAATCTGTGGGACCACCATCATATATACGGTCCGCCATTGGTTGAGGCGTTATAAGGCACATGACTGGGTATCCTCTTTCACCATTTTTTTTTGGGGGGGGGCGAGGGTAATACCAAGAATTAAACTGGAGGCACTCAACCACTGAGCCACATCCCCAGCCCTATTTTGTATCTTATTTAGAGACAGGGTCTCACTGAGTTGCTTAGGGCCTCGCTTTTGCTGAGGCTGGCTCTGAACTCACAATCCCCCCTGCCTCGGCACCCTCAGCTGCTGGGATTTACAGGTGTGCACCACCGTGCCCGGCCTCATTAACCATTTTTGTGGGTGGAAAGAGCAAGGAGGAGCACATTCAATACCAACAAGAATTGTTTTCTAAAGCATCTCTTTGCTGTTTAAAAGTATGTCACAAATAAGATTCTTGACTACTGTTTTAATGAGATCTAATTTTAAAGTTTTTTTCCTACAAAATAGCTATGGAGGGAGATTTGAGAACATGGCCAACAGAGCACATGACTCTTTCTTTGAGTCTTCTTGGCATGTTCTCATTACACTACAGGGTAAAACCCAAGAGGTGGCAATCCATTCGGACTCTGCTAACAATGCAGACTTATCAAAGAAGGTAGGAGTGGATGGGAGACAGGGAGAGGCTCCAGATTTGGGGCACTGCAACTTCACACCGTCCTGGAAGCTCCCTCCTGAACACCACCCGGCCCTGCCCACTCTTTTTTAATCAGTGGTTCCCCTGCCTCCCACACCTATTTACACAGCCCTGCTGAATACTTTTCTTCCCCTGCCTGGCATAACAACAAAGCTCACAGGCAGGAAGGAAGGCCACTGACTGGCAGGTCAGACAATGAGGCAATGAGCACATCAAGGAGAAGTGGTATTCAGAAAGCCCCACAGAGCAACACTCTCATTTCTTGGGGTCAGGATATGAACATCTAAATCAAAAATTGTTCTACAAATGTATAAAAGCCTGACTAAATAGTACCCTTCCTATAAAGGCTGAAAACTTCATATAGAATTTTTAGTTAGAAACAAGTTTAAAACCAATTTGGAAGCGGAGTCTCCTCCCTCCCATGCTGAGGAAGGTTTGGGGTGTTTATTTGCAATGTCTTTGCCAAATAAGGTTCTTGCGGCTGGAACCCATAGTGCAGGAAACAAAGTCAACCCACAAGGAACCAAATTCCACATGTCAGGTGGTAGGGATGGAAAGGTGATTGAGCCCAGTCCCTACGTACAAAGGGGAAACTAGTTGGGGAGGTTGTCAACAGATGATTTCAAATAGCCATAGAGAAGAATCCGTGGGTTTATGGTTTCAGCCACAAGCCCATCAAAGAGAAATGAGTTATCTTATTCAATGTCTTCCAAGAAAAACAACAGGTTGACTAAAGGTTAGGACTCAAACTCATGACTTCAGAGAGATCAGTGAGGTCTGGGTCTTGAAATATGCTTTTTAAAAAATATTTCTTTTTAGTTGTAGACAGACACAATACCTTTATTTATTTATTTACTTACTTACTTACTTATTTTTAGATGGTGCTGAAGATCGAACCCAACGCCTCACACGTGCTAGGCAAGTGCTCTACCACTGAACCACAATCCCAGCCCTCAAAATAGCTCTTAATTGATACGCAAGCCATGCCATCAAAAGTCTCTCTTGCTATGAATAAGGGAATTGTGTTTCACTTAAGTTGTGTTTCCTATCAACAAAGGGAGCTTATCCCAGAAGGGAACTTTCTTGTTCCAGGTTGGAAAAGCATTGGTTACCTTTACTCTCTACAATGTGTCATTTTCCATTTTTAAATAACTAGTACAGTATGATACATTGGGTTAAGAAGTGCTCAACAACCAAGTATGTACCAAATGCCAAGTTAATACAAATAAAATATTTCTCCAAAACCTCCTCTATATGCTTAAAGGTCGAAAAATAAAATTGAGACATTGACTAACTGAACTTAGGTGCTGTTATTGCCTCTTGGAGTTACTTAAGGCTCAAATGACATCAGAGAAACATTACCCAAACAAACCAAAAACAACAACAAAACCACACACAGAGGAAAAACACATGATCAGGATGAAAAACATCAAAGTAGTTTTCACACTCTGGTAAAACAACCTGAGTTAAGAATGACCACCCAAGTCCAAAGCCACTGCCAAGATTATCAGAATCTTTACAGACAAGAGACCACAACTCACATCCTTTAAGTCCCCAGCATCCAGCATAGTGCCTGGCAAACAGTCGTCACCCAACAGTAGAGTGTTGCTTGTACATGGAGGAGAAGAAATATTCAAGACCTGGTTCTCACCTGTACTCACTTTCAATAATTCAAAACTTAAAATATTGATAAACAAGGTATAACTAAGGAGCTTCTATAAGTTAATGCAGAAATCCCTGAAAAAAAAATGTCTGGTATTCTGAAGCAATCACTGCAAATACCCACTCCTCAAAGTGGAAAGCATGATTGAGTGGCAGCTTGGCCCCTTTCCCACATTCCAAATAATCAGTTGCACAAAGTAGGTTCAGTCCCAAAACTGCTTGGACTTTGTTCTTCCAGTCAACATCTGGGTTCAGCCTGATTCCTGACCTCTACCTCCAACTGGAGACGGCAAACACGAAGAACCTCACTCAACAAGAAAGTAATGTCACATCAAGGGCAGGGGAAACACAGAAGCCACTCTGCAGAGATAGAAGTGTTCTAAACACCTGAAATACTGAAACAACCTTTTAAGAAGGGAAGTTGAATACCTTTTCTGATGAAAAGTACTCATAATTTTGGAGAGAAAGATATCTTCTGGGAAGCTAGATGGTCTTACTAGGTAGATAAAACAAACTTTTTCTTTCTAGAAAGAGCATACTTTTCTCTTTGCTGTAGAATATGGCTGCAAAAGCCTGGTTCATAATCTGAGACCCAAAAGCTGATTATTTTTACAAGACAGGTCTTAAACTGACCTAGTTTAGAAACCTGAATGCCTTTAAATTGCAAGTGAACTGAAACCATTCATGAGAATGGAGCTTTTGAATGCTGAGAATGTTCTTCGGGGCTCAGCACAAAGATATTTGGCATAATGACTGTAAATATTTGTAAAACTCTGGGTAAATTGACAGTGTCTGACCACACTCAGACCTTCCTTCCATCGCAGTAGTACAAGAGCAAGTTATCTAGGGTGATTGGTTTGGAGCTCTTTTTTTTTTTTTTTTGGTTGAGTTTTTTGGTTTGTGTGAGATTAAAAGCCAAGCAACCCAATTCTGCCCCTTGACTTTTTTTTTCATATTCACTATACATGTTTAATTTTCTTTTAAGCCATCAAGATAGTCAGAGTACTTTTGAAACGGGCATTTTTCTAAGTTGATGCCCACCACAAAGAATAAAACACCCTGCTAAAGGCGTGGAAGGGCAGGGCAGACATTAGGTGAAATCACAGCCTTGAATTTCATAATACAATTATCTCCAAGTAGCTTTGTGCATCTGCTAGAGATTTCTCTTTTTCTCTCCTCCTCCTCAAGATAGTTTTAGAAATACTTAAGGAACTGCTACCCATGAAAAGGACCAATGTTCAGAAGGAAGGGCACAGCAAGGAGAGGAGAGAGTCAGAGAGGAGTGAACCGTTGAAGAAGGGACCAGAGCCCTGGAAGCTCAGCAGCTCAGGGGAAGCTGCAGCCGATGCTTTAATTAGCCAGCAACTCAGTGAAGACCGGCTGGGTTCCTTTTGCCTCATCCACACCCTGAAAACTGAGTCATCACAAAGTTCATTTATTTTGCTTCTGGGTATAGACACCCCTAATCTCCTGCTTCAGAAATGTTAAATGCATTATCCTGTAATTCATACCTCTCGATGTTCAAATAAACACCCAGAAATGGCAAACCAGAAGAACACTGATAGTCCTCATAAGGCTCCCCAGCCTATGTTTTGATAAGATATGTGGGACAGAAAGCAATAAGAAACTGACAGTCTATAGTGGAAACATTTATTCAGAGAGAGGAATTCACCCTGAGAAATCTGTATGTAAGAAGTGCATGCGTCAGGAGCAGATTCACAGCAGAATCCCTGAAACTAATGAGAAAAGCAAAAGGTATCCTGGAAGGGGTAAGCAAAGGATGCCTTTTTTCCTGTTAAAACAGAAATCGGTTTCCTTTTAACTTAAACTTGAGGCTAAGATCAGAGTTTGATTCTATTTGATAGAAATTGTCAGAATAACCACAGTGATGTCTGGCCAAGATTCCAGGACTAACCCAACACTGTACTCATAGCTCTGTGTCAACATATTGCCATGCATTTCCAAATAACAGAAGGTAGACATCCAAGATCCTGCCAACTTTTGTTCTCCCCTAAAGATCCAGGGAAATTTGATCTAATCTTCAATTTTATGATGCATTTGTTACAAATGAAGCTAATGTATTTTTACCTTTACGAAGACATCTATTTTTAAAAGTTAACAGGTGTTTAAGGCATTCAGAATGCATGCAGTGCTGTATGGTTTCAGCACTAGAAACAGAAAATGAAGCCAAGCGCCAAGGTGTCACCGTTGCCTCGATTCTCTCGCCCTTCTCGGTCCCTTTTCGTGGATGAACGCGGTTCCAGGCTTGCACCGCCTGCAGCCCCGGAGCCGCGCTCCGCACCTACCTGGCAGGAGGGCAGTGTCCCGCTGGCCGCAGCTCCTCAGCGGCCGGTCCTGCGCGCACGGCCAGCCCGAGCTGCGCGGCCGGCGCCGGGGAGGAGGAGCTCTTCCATTCCTCCCTGCCCTGGGCGCTCTGCGGCTGACAGCTCCTCACTTGGCAGGATCGCCAGCGGTCGCGCGCCCGGACCTATCGGCGGGGAAGAGGAGGAGTCCCCGCGCGCCTCCCGGCCTGGCGACGCTGGGGACCGTGCCGGGCGGCGTGGGGCGCAGCTCGCGGCGGCGGCGGCGCTGGGAGCCGCGTTTATTTATACAGGAAGCTCAGGCGCCGCACTTCCTACTTCCCATCTGGGTCGCACTTCAAGGCAGGTGATGGCTTAACCCTGTCCGAGCCCGGCTGCCGCGCCCAGCTCGCCGCTCCTGCAGCCGCCCGGGGGCCAGGACCTGGCGCGTTCGCCCGCCGGCCGCGGGAACCCCGAGTCCGTGTCGCACCGCAGTCCCGCGCCCTGCACCCGGCTCGCCCTGCACCCGGCTCGCCCCGCCTCGGCGCTTGCGCCTCTCCCTCTGCGCACAACCGCACAGGCCAGCTCCCCGGCTGCCCAGCTCCGCTCTCCTCCAGCGGCCCACACCGGCCTGCCCACCTCCCTGTTTCCGTACAGCACCTCCCGAGCTCCTCACGACAGCTGGCACCTGACCTGTCCTTTTGCGCACAACGACAGAATTAGACTGTGGGGACATCAAGGCAGCGAACAGTGTCAGCTCGCCTCCTAAACCGCAGGCACGGGCCTTGAGGAAACAGTGGTCTGCGAGGGTGTCATGGAGGGGCTCTGTCAACAAGTTATTCAAGAAACACGCGGGAACTTATCCAGCTGTACCCTTAGGTAAAGCTGCATTCCACGACGTGCCTTCCTCACTCCAAAACTCTGGACATTTGTGTGACATACATTGTGGGTGACACACCTCCTGGCTTTCCACACCCGCAAAGGTCACCACCACAGGAACATTGTAAGTTGCAACAGTCCTTCCCCCTTCATGGTGTCTTTTTGTGCTCACTCAGCAACCTCATTCTACTTTTGTAACCACTGTCAGGACACTTCTTCCTGAAAGGAACTCCCAAGTCTTAGGGGAAGGGATGTGCAGTTCAGTGACCCTGCACAGCAGGCGCTGCTCCAAAGGCCAGGAGCCACCTGCATCTCAGCTCACGTGGAAGCAAACTTCCAGGTCAAAGCCAAGTGCTGAAGAACCCAGCTTAACTACTGTGATGCTAGGACCTGCAGCAGCTCCAGCCCACTGGTGCGGGAGAAGGAACAGAAGACTGGGCAGAGGAGACGGCAGGAGAACACTCCGAGGGGCCAGGGGCCGAGGGGCTGGCAGCAAGCAATGTCATCAAAGCATATTTGAGCCTGCAAAGTCCTTTGAGCTATTTTAATCCAAACACCTCATTTTAAAGACAAGAAAACTGATGCCCAGGGCGAGTTAAGTGGTCAGCCAAACCAGACCAGAGCTGACCCAAGACCTAAATCTTTATTGCATGAGAAAAGTTGCATATTAGTGAAAATCACCCCCAAAGGATATCTAATTTCCGATTTAGCAGTGGCTTAGGTTCTAGATCGCTTCCTCAAGAAATTCTCTTGCTATAGTTACCATTGTTGATGGACAGCAAACAGGAAAGATAAGGTCCCCTAAGAGGCGGCTTACTCGTTAGTGTTGATGCACATCTTCTGAGCCTTGAACCAAAGTTCAACAGAGTCCACTTTTTAAATTACCACCCAATTAAGTCATCATCTCTTACCAGTAGAATAAAGGTACGAAGTGGCTGCCAATATGAATAAAAACGTAGGTTTGACAGTAATCACACTGGCTGTCATCTCAAAAATTCTGTATAATTGGATAACTTCACCACAAATTATTTCAACCATGAAAATTTATAAAAATTGCAGTCAGAATTTAATAAAACTAAATGAACACATCCAACACTGCAATATAATGCAAACAACTCTTTCAGATCTGCCTAAGACATCCACGATGTGACTGAAATATCATTCCCTTGAGCACTTATTGATCTCCTCCCAGACAAGCTGCTAGCGGGGAGGCAGATACAGGTAAGTCAAACATGGTCCCCATCCTCAAAGACTTCTCAATCCAAGGTAGGAATCAGACAAGCAAATCCATTATCAGAATGCTGTGAGGAGGGATGTGATGGATGGACTTAAGCTCTGAGTGCCACGGGAGCAGAGAAGAATAATTAATGGAAGGGGGTTGATGAAAGGATCAAAGAAGGCTTCTAGGACAAGGTGACTGAAACCCGGAGTCCTTGGGCAGTTGAGTGGGGAAGGCAGACAGGGTGAAGGCAGGCAGAGCAAATGGTCAGTGCAAAGGCCTAGACAGATTTTAGGTACAGCTTTTCCTAGATTAGGAAGAGCAGTTGCATTCAGAATAGAAGAACAAAGACCTGAATGAATGCAGGGACAATTTTGGTTTGAAAAGGAACAATCGAGAATTCAGAGGCAGAACTGGTAAGATGTGGCATTAATTGGATATGACTGGGGAGAGAGAGAGGCAGAAAAGAGCCCAGATTGCGACTTCACCAGAGTGGGAATTAAGGAGATGCAATGAGCAGGACGATGAGGCTTCACTTTACATCCTGCAGAATCTCAGGGGTCTCTGGAGCACAGGAGAATTCTCCAGCAGACCACCAAAGAGAGACCTGGTGGAGTGCCTTATGGAAAGTGCCATCATTGAGGTGGTGGCCATGGATGAAATTACTTAGAGGATAAGTCACCCACAAAACGGAGCATCCTGTAGAGGGAAGCAGAGGCTTTGGACCTAGACAAACTCTACTGCCCACTGGTTATTATATAACCTTCAGTCAACTGTTAACATAAACTCGTTTTTTTTCTTCTTCTTTAAAGTAAGAAGAATGGTTTTCATCTTATAGGTTATTGTTAAAGTATATGAGAGTTTGTAAAGTAGCTAGCACAGTCCAGATGGGACAGAAATACCTGTATTGTACAAGTATTGGAAGTGGAGCAAAAAATGTCACATCCTGGGGTTGTGCTGTACACAACCTGCTCAGCTGTACACTGTGGTCCTAGCCTGATACACAATAGAACTCAATCAATCATATTCTGTTGAACCAGAACTTTGGAGTTCTGGTTCCGGGTTCCAGGAGAATTGGCCAACGGAGCCCAGGGGAGGGAGTGTGTTCCTGGGAAGTGTGTGTAGAGTGCCGGTGAGAGTCCGGGAATAAAGAGTTGCTGTTTGAACCTACAAGGCTGTGTGGTGGCTCGGTTATTTTGTGCCCAGCCAGACTGCGGCAATATTCCTCTAAAAAGGGAAAAGAAATAGAAAGATAAAAGAAAGGAGCCAGTAAAGAGAGCCCAGATGAACCCCAGTATTTAAAGAATTGGTAAAAGAGGATAAGCCTGAGAAAGAATTGTTTCTTTTAGGCTAAAAAAAAAAAAAAAATACATTTGATATCTCAGACCACAAAAAAACATACAGACACTACAATCTACAAAAATATTCTAAAATCTTTTTGAGTAAGAATATATTACAAATTGTTCAGCAGAAAATATAATCATGTTGATAATCATCATAATAATAATTTCCTCATGTAAATCACAGGCCTTCCTAAAGAAAAGGCATACAAATTCTTGACATTAATAGCAAGCAATCCAAATTATATTGATTTCAATATATCTTAAGTCATTTAAAATAAATTTAAATCATAAAGTTTTTCCTGCACATGAGGTATATATACATAAATACACACACGTGTGTATATATATGTTCACGTATATAATTACTATATGTGTAACAATCTTAAGTGTATAAGATGCTTAATGTATAAGATACTTAAATAATATGTATCATATTATATATGATGAAACGTAGTACATAATAGGCATATATTATGGAAGCACTATAAGTCTATATAAGAAAAGACAACTCTAATTTCTTCTTTGGAAAATTCTCCTTAATTAATATAAGCACAATGAAGTATTATTCAGTCGTAAGGAAGAATGAAAGCCTGTCATTTGTAGCAAGATGGATGGAACTGTAGGTTATGTTGAGTAAAATAAGCCAGAGTTAAGAAGGTAAGTACCCCATGGTCTCTCTCATATGTGGAAGCTAAAAAGGTTGACCTGAAAGTAGTGATTACTAGAGCCAGGGGAGGGGGAGGAGGGTAGAAAAAGGGAGGGCAGATTTCTGTACATGTATGGAAATAGCACACTGAATCCCCCTATGAATATGTAATATTGATGTGTTAATTAAAAAATTTAAAAAGAAAGTGCTCCAATATTGATCTAGAAAGGAAAAGAAAAATCAAGATTCATTCTTGAATCTACTCTTCTGTTCTTCCTTAGCATGAAGTTAGTAACATGCAGCTTAGGCTTGACATTTTAATTATATCCTGTGTTCTAAAAATTTTTTTTAAATGGTTCATTCAGAAGAAAGAACACAAGCATTGGGTCACCCGCTTCTGCGATGGGCACATTTCTCTCTCCATGGGAAAGGATCTCAGGCCCAGGCCTTGGTGTCTGCCTCCGACTGGTCATCTCTCATTTCCAAATGGCTGCCATTTCATTTCCATTCATTGCTTGTATCTAATGAAGTTCGTTTTCTTCATTTTTTTTTTCAACATTTACCAAGCACTGGGTATAAAACTAACAATAAGGCACCATGCAAACAAATAATGATGGAAATGACTCTAGAGATACATTCGGGGTAAAGACGGGACGTGGAGCACCGTGGAACTCACCGTGCAGTTACCACAGCTTGGAAACACCATTTTTAAAAGCTGGAGATGTGTCAGTTGGGTTCTGTTTCACACAGAAGAACCTCAATGCCTCACAGAGCCAGCCACAACTGACTGGGCCCCAACAGAAAAACGTGACCGGACTGTCCCAATCTGCCACTGTCACTGTGCCACAGGGGAATCCAGGACGACTCAGGGTGGAAAGCAAAACTCCACAGGATTCCACGGCCCAGATCTCTGACATCCCACGTGACATGGCCAGCGGACTGCGCCTGGGCACCAGTGGGAGAATGGAGTTGGCACCTAACTCTCTCTAGAAAAACGCCTCTGCACGAGCCCTGAGTTAGAATTCCCTGCTGGAAAGTCAGCATGTTAGCCAGGTGCAGGGGAGCACGCCTAGGATCCCAGAGGCCCAGAGGCCAAAGTAGGAGAACTGCAAGTTCAAAGCCAACATGGACGACCGACCAGGAACCTGACTCAACTAAAAAGGGCTGGAGATGAAGCTCAGTGGTAG